CGCCATCTGTTCAGTGTAGTGCCGACCACAGTGTACTCAACAGATGGCGGTAATGTTTTAGCGACGATGTTTTACAGTGAGAAATATTCAATGTGTTATGTCTGTTTGTCTGTGCTATAGCTATTGAGAAGGCTAACTGATCCTGTATGAAATACAGAGTATTGCGGAGAGGTGCAGGCGAAAGCCATCGGACCGACTCTTTCAGCAGATAAGACATAGTTTTGATGTCTTTGAGTCAGCTACAAAGCTATAATAATATATTTATTAGCTTATATAAACATTATATAATATTACTTACAAATTCGGTAACTGGTTATTGGAAAACAATTGATTCCAACCGGCACCTCTTCACTACAAGATCTTCACGATTGTACCATAGAGGTAACTCTAAGACTAGTAGGTCTCGAAGAAACGTGCTCAACTTTTTGGCTCAGCTCTGGTACTATCTTCGGTCCCAAGCTAATCGATTCACTCCTCGAAACATAGGAAAATCCACGAACCCCTCATTTTATCTGTCAAAATTTCATAGCGAATCAAAACAAACATTATGTAGTACTATAATTTTGACTAGAATTGGGTACGTTAATCGATTTGCTTGTGACCTGTAGGCTAGTCAAGTAGTGAGCCAATTTAAAATCGTTAGTTTCGTATTGATTGTTGATTGTACTCAGTATTCATTATTAGTTTATCGGTCAACAGATATTAGGGATGATCACTTTTTAAATTGCTCAATTCTGAGAAGCGCAAATTTACGCAACACTCCCCCCCGTAACACTTTATTATCTCATTAACTGGAGTTGCAGTTTCCATTACGGCGAAAACGGACCGACAATGGGTTTCGATAAGTTCGTTGTCACGAACACGGTCAGGAGCAATGTGTACACCGCACATAAGTACAGTGTGCGATCACTCAGTTCAACGGCAACCCATGCTTGTTCCACACAGTCCCACGCGTCATTTTCTAAAGCTCTCGTCTTCAAACCGGAACGGACTGCCACAAGAACACCACCTCCATTAGATTTCCGACTGTTTTTAGGATTTAGGAAACGCCTGGCTGGAGAGCGTTCGAGAATCGAGCCAAGTCTCGGTTAGAACGATGACATCATTGTCACCGAATACATCCCCATAAAAAGAAGTCCATGGGAGTCAAATCCGGACTCCTTGGGGGCCAAGCAATCGGCCCGTTCCGCCCGAGCCTCAGATAATTGTTCAGAAAATATCTTACCGCATTCTGTTCAAAACGTACCATACGCTCCAGTGAGAAACCGGAAACTGAGCTGCAACTCACCTTGTGCTAGTTTTGGGATTTTTTCTCACAGTTCTTAAAATTCTCTCCTCCATGACCGGCGGGGCTGGTCGGCTTGAGGTGCAGTGGAAAATAACGTTCCATCCCGGAACCGACGGTGTGTAGATGTGAAGGTTCCTGTGTCAGCGTAATGTTTACATACAAAACTTAAATCTAACATTATTTTTACATAGGGGAATTTACGTATTCTCGGCAACCTAAGCAGCGACCTTCTTTCTATAGCCTTTTTCTCTATGGAACGCACACATATGCAGTATTGGTTTGTTTACAATCTTTTGCTGCCAGCTGCTCTAACAATTTCAGTCGAAAGAATTGTCAAAAACTGTTTTGAAACGCTTTTACAAAGCTCCAATCTTCTCTAGTGAGAGCGAGTATTGTCGGCAACCAGTTTTTCTTCGGCAACCGTTCCATTTGAACTGCATGTAAATCTGCTGTTCTATTATCGGCAACTCGAAATCAGCTACAATTTGTAGTGCGTGTGTTTCATTTCAAGAAAACCTTGCTAGATTGCTTTTTCTCAGTGGTAAAAATATAGTCAAATTGAAGCTGAAAGCATTAAGAATCGTTTGCATGCATTCAGCGAAGTGTTTTCGTAAGAAAATCCAGTGAAAATAGTGTTTCAATTTGGGTTGCCGAAAATAGTCTGTCATGCCGAAGCCGTCATTTCCCCTACTTGCGTTTGGCAGTCGACGTACCCTAGCAGAGATGAATATCCGCCAGCTCTTCTGGAGAATACATGTTTGTTTTCTGCAAGCTGTAAGTTTCTGTTTTGATTTTTCTTCTTGGTCTCACTTATCACACTTTTCATACCGTCACTCTGCACGGCGAATGAGAATAACCCAAATTTGAGTTTAGTTCACTCATAATCGCCAAAAGTGCAGGAACTCACTGAGTAAAAATTTGATGAGTAAAATTTGTCTAATGGTTTCCTGTGGAAAACCTAAAAAATCTGCCGGAAAATGAGGAAATTGACGAAAATTTTATTCAGTCTCGGAGTAGTACCAATAGACTGAGTGAATCAAATCTTTACTTTTCTCAAATTCGGGAATTTTTCCCTGGAAAATCGTGGTAAAACTTGGGAAAACATGAGGCAAATTACTCGAGCGAACAAAACTCAAATTTGGGTCGTTCTCATTCGCCGTGTGCGTGACGATCAAGTGTGCTATGCGTGCTGCAAACAGACGTCAACAGCAACGCACGGCGGGGTTGAATTCGTGTTTTACGCAACCGTTAATTAACGACCCAACATGATGTGTTATACGAAATTGCGACAAAACTAAACAAGATATAAAATTGGTGACAAAACAATACACTTTATTACGTGTAGACAAAACAATACACTTCATTACGTGTTTTTTTTAGATAATAAGGGAAAACCCGTACACGGATAGAAATCTCCTTATACCTTTTGGCAAATTTCTATAGCTGATTATTCATAAAATGTATAAGTCAACTAATAAGCAGACGCCTTGCAAAAAGTTAATGAAGATCATGTGTCAAATGAAATGTATAAGCGGTCACGCATACCTTTTATGCATTCTTATAGGACCTGTGTGGTTTGTCTTATGGAATGTATAAGGCTGATGTTTTGGCAAAAATGTATAAGTGAAACACATAAATAAAATAATTGATTTTCGTTTCGTTTCGTGTAGAAAAACACAAGTTTTAGACTCGTTTATCCCTAAAATGTGTCTAAATGCAGCTTACTTAAAGTAAAAACAACATAATTAAGTAGGAAATTTACCAAGCTGTCTAATGAAGGTAAGAGTTTTGTACTAAATGGCATAGTTTTTGAGTTAGAGCCTAAAACAGAAGAAGTTCAATAACTGAGTAATCTTTGAAATTTGATCATATGCGTAGAACAATTTTTTACTTCAAGGAATATAAGGAAGTCATACTCATAATAAGAGCCGTGATTGCCGTACAAATCAAATGGGAATCACTTCACCGTTACTACAAGTGACAAGTTTTCACCGTGTAGTGACACCCGTAATAAGGCCCAAGATGGCTCGATTGTCAAGATATGGTTTATATGATAGTTTATAGTTTATATAGGAACTACATGTATAGCTATTAGCACCTCAAGAAAACAAACTATGAAAAATAGGCAGTTCTTTGCTGCGGTTAGTACACTTGTAAGTAATGTTATTTATAGATTTTTGGAGATAAGATACTGTTCTCATACATTCGGACACTTTTGAATGTCGAGTTTCACTCCCTACTGTGCTCAAAAGAGCACGTAGATAATATAATGTTTTTTTTAGTGTCGTGAGAATCATTACATCGTCTGATATTTGTTAGTTCAACCAACTCAACAACCCCCAGAGGCAGAAACGATCGCTTTATTTATATTTAATTCGTCTATTCTCGAATCTTCATCTGCACCCCTTTAGAAACAATATTCTTGATATGCCAATGCTGTTACAGTACGAACAAAATCACGATTTGCTGACCCCTTGAATTATGTATGGCACAAACACCTGAGCCAACTCAGCATTCTCGCGTCACTTTTAAAATAGACCAATGTAACATATCCACCATTTTGAGAAAATCGAAGTCGAAGTTCGACAGATTATTAATTTAACTATTTAAAAACAATGCATTTTTCAATACTATTTTTAATGTACTCAGTGTATAATAACGTTGAAAATTCAGAAGAAACGGTAACATCACAATTTTACTTTGAATTTCATGCTACAACATAGAAAAAACCACATAGGACGTTTTGACAAGTCGAGTTGTACATCGGACATGTTACATTGGACGATTTTTCTCAATGACATAATCAATGATGGCGGTAAGCTCCAACTCGGATTAACTTTTAATACAGTCCCTGTTTGGATGATGTGCAAAACATTTGCTTAAAGTTGCGTTGAGATACACTGATGTCGACATCAAAGCAGCCAGACATTCTTGATCGGGATTTAATCCGAGGATAATACCGGTTGGAGCTTACCACCATGAGTGTTACATTGGACGTTTTGTCTACATGATACTAGATTCCCTTTCGCAGATTTCAGAGTATAGTACCTAATTTTAGATTGGCCCCGCCTTTGGAAAATGAGCACCAATCATGTTAGGCAGTCCGAATGACCGAAGTAACAATCATGTACCCATCATTTCAAACTGTACATAATTTTTAATCAATGATTATCTTAAATAAATGCGATGGATGTTTTTGTATCACATACAATGATAGAAGAGCAATAGTTTGTATGGCTTAACTCGATTTGTTTACATTTGTTACATTGGTCTATTTGAAAAGTGACGCGAGCATTGCGCGATGCATATTTTGAATCGATAAACTGATAAGCTCACTGATAGCAATACCAGTTGACAGCTGGTTCTCTATCAATGACGTTTATAATGTCATTGGTTTTCTATCTCATTCTTCGATTTCAACCACCGATACTTTTTTCGATCTCACCGCTCCAAGATGATTGCGGAAATCAAGCTTGCTTCAAATGTCCAGACTCATCGAATTACAACCCAAGGGAGAGTGTGGTTATTGAATTCTAGTTGTGAAATGAGAAGCATTAGTGAATTGTGAAATTTGATCATGAAATACCATTGTGAAATTGAAGTACAAAATGGTACTATGCAACAAGTTGTAACAACGTAGTTTGAACTTGCTGCATTCGCATAAAACTCTGCAAACAGTGATCTTTTTCTATTAGTCGTCTATGTGCATTCAGTGGAAGTAGAGTGTCATTAGCTCGTTTTATTAATCGTAATACTACGTCTTCGACGAAAGTGGTGAGAAAGTATTCGACAAGGAGCATGCATAAGTGCATCAACGCGATGATTAATTCTCTTCGTAGTTTTTTGGTGCGTTTGCTGCTGCTCTAGATAGCCAATACAACCTGTTACAACTCTGCAATGAAAAAAATCTAGAAAATTGTTTCGCTTAGCTGTAGCAATGCGAAGATAAATTCGATTAAGAGAATCGATAATCGCACCCTTATGCATGCTCACCGTCGGTATGTACTATTTTAATCGTTATAGCTCGTCATTAAGCTTATCAACTTCAATTCACTATGTTCCATTTCATTAAGTTCTGGATAAGGGAAAGGACATCAATGTTGGCCATTGGATTTGTGCACTTAGAAATGTTTACTGCAACTTTTTACCGAACATGCTGAACCTTCGCTAATCAGTATGGTAAACTCAATAATGTTTTTCCGTACTGTTCCGTACAACATAAATGTTCGATTATTTTCTTTTTACTATTTTTTCAGACTAACCTGAATGAAAGTTCGAAGTGCAGTGAAATTAAATATTATTTTTTAAAGGTTGAATTGCCATGTAATAGTGATACAAATGGTATTTTTGAAAACTGTTTTTTATATATGCCGTAGAAGTCGTGGATTTCTTTTGAGAAATCACGGATTTCGCGGATCAAATCGCGGAAATCTAGTAACAGAACTAGATTTCACAACTGTGTGTAATTTCTTATTATGATATAGAACTTCATAATGTTTTGAAATTAAATTTTTTTTTGAATGTACAGTTTCCCGATTGTCAGCCCACTTTTTAAAAATGTTTTCTAAAGTACTACACTCAAAAAATTTCACACGTTTTATCAAACACTTCGATTTTTGAACATTTGATTTTTTAAATGCAGAATCACATTTACTTTAAGTGTATTTCACCTTGGTTCAATGTGTTATATACGTTAATTTCTAGTGTTTCAAACTTTGAAATGTTGAAAATCTTTCACTATATACCCAACAAACAATTCAAAGTCACAAATAAGCATACACATTGAATAAATGCTGTATAACAGTGTACAATGCTGAATAAAACAGGATGTCAAATTATGTGCTGAAAAAAGCTCATTGAGATCGATAGATGCGCTTTTATTCCGCCGTTTGCTCTGATATGATTAATTTCCTTATTAAAAGCTTTATAAACGTTGACTGTCTTCCTTATTCAGAACCAGAAGTTTGATCTAATAACAAACTGAATAAGTATAATTTGCACATACATTGTCGCTTTTATTCGACTGTTTTCAAATGATTGAATAAAATTCTTTATTAAACGTCTTATAAATGTTTTCTAGCTCCATTATTAGATTTCATTGCATTGCTTTACAATATTGCTGTATAAAGGTGAATACACTCAGTAAAATAGCTCTTATACCACCCAACAAACAATTCAAAGTCACAAATAAGCATATATATTGAATAAATGCTGTATAACAGTGTACAATGCTGAATTGAAAGAGTTGACGAATTATGTGCTGAAAAAGCTCATTGTTCCACTGTTTGCTCTGATCTGATTAATTTACTTATTAAAAGCTGTAAAAGTGTTAAATGTCTTCCCAATTCAACGCCAGAAGTTCGATCTAATAACAAACTGAATAAGTGTAATTTGTACATACATTGACACTTTAATTCGACTGTTTTCAATTGATTTAATAACATGCTTTATTAGACGTCTAATAAATGTTCTCCAGCTCCTTTATTAGATTTCATTGCATTACTTTACAATATTGCTGAATAAAGGTGAATACAGTCAGCATAATAGCTCTTATACCACTATGCGTCCATGTTGTAATCACATGATTTGTAAATGCTTTATAAACGACGTATTAGATTCATTATTCGACAACACTGATTCAGTCTTACAACAAGGCGAAATCAGTAGAGTAGTGGTTACCGTTTCCGCTTTCCAATTAGAAGGTCGTGAGTTCAATCCCAAGCTCAACCCTTTTTTTATTTGTGTAGAACATAATTAATTTAAATAGTAATCATCGATCACATGACTCACGATAATGAATGCATTGATCTAGTTTAAAATATAACCGAGCATCCTTTCTTTCGACTTGGAGATGTGAAGAGGCAACATTGGTCTCATTTAAAACAACGATGAATGAATTAATCATTCCCACAGGGCCTTGAAGGAGCTAGAGTTGCGATCGGGAGTGCTGATAGGTATTTACTTTCTAGCATCTTTTATAGATTATTGAGTTGCCCATATGATGAATTCTAGGATAGCTCAGATGACAAGGCAAGCGGCTGGTGATCGGAAGGTACATGGTTCGATTCCCATACAACGGCGGCATGTATAAGTATTTAATAAATTATCTAATATCTGTGTGGTGCGAGCCACGTCAGAAATATTGAAATGTAATACACTTAAGGAAGAAACACACACACCCCTTCCCCTGTCCTCTTATTTTCGGGTTAATTTTCCCACAGTTGAATAATCGTTTAATAAATGTATAATAATGTCTAATTAAACGTTACTTCACATAAGAATCAAGCCGTATACAGAGCATCACTGTTTTAAGGAAGCAATGATGTCTAATAAACGCTGAATAATCAAAAATTTTATCGTATAAACTCTGTTACAACTCTTATATAAGTCGAATAAAAGCTTCTCGACATACCTTATACAACACCAAGAAGTTCAATGTTGTGGTTGAATAAATTCTCCAGATTTGTGTGAACAAAGCCTGACCAGAAGTTATTATTAAAAATAGTACAAGTACTATTAAGCATCCAGTTGAATAAAATGGCCAAGAAGTCGTTTCTTCAATAGATGATTGTTTGTTGGGTATTCAAATGTATTGTACATTGAATCACGCTACTGTTCAAAACAGATGGATTTAAAGTGTTTTGCATTTCAATACGATGTGAATTGCTTGCTCAGAAAGGTAAACATCGAAAACTAGAGTTGTGACTTTATCCTATCAACCCACCTCATATATGAGAACAACCGTGGCACAGTGAGATCGAACCTCGGATCGAACGAAGACTCTGGCAGCAGCACACCCCAACAGTTAGTTCATGATCGAATCCCAAATCAGACCCATTAAAAAGATATGTGATAGCTCTGGCCTCTGGCAGTTTTGTATGTATATATTTGTCGATTCATTTTTAGAGTCGGTAAAGTAGAAGTCGATAAAGTAGAATATTGTAGAATATTGAACTATGAAGTGCAAAGCTATTGATATTACCATATGAGGCACATAGAATCCATGCGTGTTACAATTCAAATCCATAATGTTCAGGCATGGTTCATAGCATAAGATTCACACATGAAATGGATGTGTTTCACAATAAGCGCAAAATTAAGTGTGAGAAACATGATAATGACGTTTTTTCAGTGGTCCTATTGCACAATTAGTATATTTTAAACATCCTTCTGGAAGATGAATGAGATAGGTTTGGTATTACGATTATGTGAAATTATTGAAAGATAAAAGTCTAGCGAACCCCAAACGGAAGGAAAAATTGTCAATACCGATGTATTGACGTCAATATCGAATGTATTGACAGTACGATTATTGTCAATACAAACTGTCGTGTAGGGTCCACTTCTGATACTTGGAGGGGTTGACGACAAAATAGGGTCATTACAGTAAAATTGACTAATAATCAGCGCAGTAGGCTCTGCCAGCGAACGGTTGGTTTTGCTTTCGCTGTCTGCACATTTGGTGTGTTTTTCGTGAGCTTTTTAACTAAAACAGTTGGATATCCATTTTCGATACTGTTAATTGAATTTCATTGAATCATGCAATGAAGAATATTGCGAATAATTGTGAAATTCGGCAACAACATATTGTGTTTTCGCGTCGGTTGGATTTCCTGTTTCTTGTTCCAGTGCTCCGCCTCCGCACTTTTTCGGTTCTTGCGTTCTGGGGGTTGTAAGATTTGCTCACAATTCAAGCTGAACATTGCATTAGGTCCGAAGTAACATTGATCGATTCTCTTCGTCGACTTTCTCTTTCGTTAATAACTTGAGCACAGAATCGTTTCTTGATGTGTTTGATGCTAGATAAAAGCTTCTTTTATCGATCTTTGTGTCTTTTTATCTGGAAATGTCTTGACATAGACGAGTGCACGGATGGATTTTAGTTCACTCACTCGACAAAAAGTGACTCAACAGCGGGGCCCTGTTTACGAAAAATGAACATATGATTAATGCTCACGTAACATTTGAAAAGGGCCTATCAATTTTTGTGAACTACTTGCTAGGTCCTTTTCACGAGAACCGAAGTACGCCCACGCAAACCAAGAGCACTATCGGGAAGGGGAGAAATTCCCCTACCCGATGGTGTTGTTAGTTTGCGTAGACGTATTCGGTTCGCACGAAAAGGGCCTAACAAGTTGTGTGTACAAAAGGTGATAGGCCCGTTGCAAATGTTACGCGAGTATTATTCATGTGTTCATTTTTAGTAAACAGGGCCCTGCTGTTGTGTCACTTTTTGTCGAGTGAGTGAACTCAAATCCATCCGTGCAGTCGTCTATGGCCGTGGGGATACAAAGAGAAAGTCGACGAAGAGAATCTGTCAATGTTACTTAGTACCTGATGCAATGTTCAGCTTGAATTATGTGGGATACATCATCGCAGGATGTTAGTGGAGATCGCATGAGATATACCGAGCTGCGGTCCAATGCAAGAAAATTGAAGACCGAAAAATGTGGAGTGTATAAATGAGAGAAATTAATCATGACGTAAAAAAAGGGTGTCGAGCTGTTCTCGCACCACGAACGTTGCGATTATCAGACCTCCCGCATAAACGCGAACCATAAATTGACCTTACCGATAATGGTTATAAATTGTTTATAATTCCTCCTTAACTTTAACTGATATGGTTTTGGAACCTTACATGAACGTTTGTGTGATAAAGTTTTAACCTTATGTATTATGGTTTTTAGGAAGCGGACCTTACAAATAATGGGTTGTTAAGAACCATTACCATTTCAAATTCTTGTTTTCTCCATACATTTTCGGAAAGAGAACTATATTAGAACGTTTTTACTTATGGTTTGAGAACATTAATGGTAATGGTTATGGTAACCAGTAAGGTACATGATTGGTTTTGTAACATCGATCAACTTTATGTGGAATATATCGCGAATTGGTTGCCTGTAAATTACTGATTACCAATTCACGATATATTTCACGTAAAGTTGAGCGATAATACAAAACGATTAATGGACCTTACTGACTACCATAACCATAATCATTAATGTTCTCAAACCATAAGTAAAAACGTTCTAATATAGTTCTCTTTCCGAAAATGTATGGAGAAAACAAGAATTTGAAATGGTAATGGTTCTTAACGACCCATTATTTGTAAGGTCCGCTTCCTAAAAACCATAATACATAAGGTTAAAACTTTATCACACAAACGTCCATGTAAGGTTCCAAAACCATTTCAGTTAAAGTTTAGGAGGGATTATAAACAATTTATAACCATTATCGGTAAGGTCAAGTGATGGTTTGCGTTTATGCGGGCTGTGCTTTCTCCACAGATCTCTTCATGCTTCGGAACATTAATAGGCTAAAAGCAAATTATAAGCGCTCATAGTACTGTGGAAGATAGAGTTGGTGTGGATGATAAGAAAAAAAGGAATTCTAGATGGAGCTGGAATTAGGGCGTAACAGCCTTTGTAAACAATGACTTCTCTTGTTGATGTCTCGGAATTCAAGGCACGCCTACACAAACCAAAATATCCATCGGGTCGGAAAAGTCTTCCTCTACTCGATGGTGATGTCGATTTGCCAGAGAGAGCCATGACTTCCGAGAAATCATCGAGAGAAGTCGTTGGTCTTTATTGGAGGAGCCTGTATGAAGTTAGATTTATTTTATTTTTTAGATCGATTTTCAACTTTTTACCTAGCAGACGAATGTTAGTAAAATTAGTGGCAGATGAATAATCTTTATTACTACTAAAAATGGGAAAATTTTCAAGAAGTTATGTTCATTTTATTTCGAGAAAATAAGGTTTTTCAAGAAAAAGGGGTTTTCCTTAAATTGCCAAATATGCCCAATACTGAGTCAGCTGATAAAAATTCAGAGACGTATCGCTTTTAGAGCCGTTTGTATAAAATTTAAGTACTCATTTTAAATTTTAATGAGAAAATAATATATAAAAAAATTTTTCGCGCTTATTTGGTAACAAGTAAAACAAGAAATTGACTTCCCTGGGCATGGAATATGATTGTACTTGACACACAATAATACAAAAACGGTGCCGGTATCGAAAACTCTCAATTAATAAGTTCGGTAGTGCTCTAAGAAAACTATGTTAAGATCCGGAAATACGCTAATATGCTATAAGCTTGAAATTAAAATAGAATTCAAGAAAAATCAACCATTTGACATCTTTTTCAATTATTTTCTTTTCTTTGTAGGATCATTTTGAAGCTTATGGTAAACAAATGATCGAAACATGACCATGGACAAGTGTATTTCACGTCTGTTTATATCCCTGATCATGCTCAGCTACACCGCAGCTGTCGACGATGATTCCTACGGAAGGTATGTTATAAATATATGAAACTCATATTGATAAATTTTAAATTCCGTTTATTTTTCTTCAGATATGCCGACCTGTGCAATCAGAACCTAACAGCATTGGATCAGTACTCTAATGAACTCAAAGCTATTTCCCCGGAAACTATGTACATCTCACTGTGCCAAAACGATATGACGAGTGTCCACAAAAACACTTTCTACAAATTTACAGAATTGGAAAAAATAATAATGAGTGGTAACAACCGCTTACAGTTCCCTGCCGATGGATCTCCCATGCTGACATCGCCCAGTTTGACCGATTTCGTCTGCGAGCAATGTGGAATCGTGAAAATCTTCAATCACTCAGTGCGCGAAATGCCTTCCCTAGAGTATTTAGTACTGAGTAGTAATTCGATCTCACAGATTGAGAAACATGCCTTCCGGAAGAACCAATACTTAAAGGAATTAAACATCAGGATGAATTTGCTGCGCTGGATACCATCCACAATACTGATTGGCTTACACAAAATAGAAACCTTAGATCTCAGCTTCAACCGTGAGCTTGCTCCTGTTATGGATAAACCATTTTTGAAGAGTAATGCTCTGGAAATACTGAAGTGTAATAGTTGCGGATTCACCTCAATTGACGGGAACACATTTGTCATGTTGACGAACCTTAAGGAACTTCATCTTAAAGACAATCCAGTTTTTCAGCTTCAACAGCCGATAAATTTATCGCGTGCAATCGAGTTGCTGAAGATACTTTCGACTAATAAGCTGCGTTCACCAGTTGACTTTCAGTCAAGTGAAGAAGATCTGGAGATTAATCTGGAATTTGACTTGGACAGGAATTCGGAAGACGACATAACTATCAGTAAAGCTCAATCCTCCGAATCTATTATCTTAGCGATTATGTATAAGCATTGATACAGAGCAAAGATATTTGCTAGAAATTTAGAGTTTAACACCTTTCGCACTTAATTTTCTAAAAAAACAGTTACAACCCAGTGCGAAACCGAACTATTTGTCAGTGCGAACATCAACCTAGGTTTTAAAAACAAACGAGCCACGAATGACAAACGACAGAAAATTGGTTCATAAAAGATCCCCTATTTTATCCTCTTCCTCTTAGGATGCATGCAAATATATTGCTGCAACCATGGCCTATTTCTATTCGAATATCGTTAGCTGGATAAAACCTACTGAAATGAATAAATAAAGCACTGTTCATTGGATGATAGCTACCCCACCATCAAAACACCTTTTCGGATTTTAATCACATTTCCAGTTACGGTCGTCACTTTTTAGCAGTTAGTCAGTTAGTCAATAAACCAGGAAAGGTTGATAAATCTCGTGCAACTTTTCAAACACACCAAACTGCTCTTTTGAGACGAACCAGCAGGGCTGAAAGTCTCCTTAATAAAGATATAAAAAAAACTGCTCGATTCAATTAATCGATAAATAAATAATGATTTGAAGGATGAATAGTCGAATGGTCTATACTGGAATACTATTGCAAACAATAGCTTCAAACTTCAATTTGACGAAACTACGAGCTCACCCACGCTTTCTAGCCAAAAAAAAAAAAAAACATAACAAAATGGGATGCTTTCTGATTTGATTTTAGGCGCATGGTATGCGCATTTTTAGAATGACTGTACATCATGTTTCAGAGCATCATTTAGCCAAACTTTAGTACTCAAGGACTTTGTTAATAGGTATTACAGATGCCGTAGTTTACCACGGTGTCTCTGAAAGAGATCCTTATCATTTAAAAAAATCAGTATCGTTGAAAAACCTACTTAACCTTAAGCTCGTGTCTTTTATATGATCGCATCGAACTGTTCTATCGAGGGATCTTGAGTAATTTTTATTTTTTTTTTTTATTTTGTAGTGTCAATCACATTCAAAAAATAATGTTTAAGTCCATTTTGAAATTAGTCTCAAAAAAAAAAAGGGTCACCTACGATTTTGTTTGGTGAGGGTTTAGACGATAATGATTTTGTTTATACTAATGTTTTTCTGCTAGAAACACCGATTTCGCTTATATAGGGGAAATGTATGTCGGCCTAAGTGTCCCTAATTTGGACCCACACATAAATTCAGCAATCGACTAAATTTTCAATAGGTACCAAAAATATCCATTAGTACCAACCCAATGACACGTTCATTTTGATACAATTGATAAATAGCAGATTTTTAGCGATGGTCCCAATCTTAGATCCATAGGCCAACATTAGAGCCATTTCCCCTATATAAACAGGGTGACTGGTAATTCGTGCTACACCCGAAAGGAGGTGAAAGTAGACCATATTTGCAGCAAAAAATTGCATGGCAAGGAGGGTCGAAAAATCATTCCTTACCGACTTATGAAGCAATTAATTTTCTTCTGATTCAAAGTGCCTCATTTTGCTCGAGTAGTCATAATAAATCAACATTATTACATTAAACTGTTAGAACCTGATCAAATCAATCCGAAAGAAAGCATTTGGCGCCAATTGAATAGAGTGGTTAGTAAACAAAGGTTGATCACAGTAGCCAAGCAATGCTTACTCCCTGGTGGGCTTTGGTAATATTGACGAGTGCCCGAGTAAAAAGTGGTAGAGTTGCTCGGCAATGTAAAATAAATAGATCAATAACTCGGTAAGGAATGATATTTCGACCTATCTTACCATACCATTTTTTGCTGCAAATGTGGTCTACTTTTACAGTACAGTACTTCTATCTAATTCCAGATCTATTCTAATCTAATCTAATACAATCGCAGCCAGTACAAGAAAGCATCCTGGAAAATCATTAGGTTAGATAAGACCTAATCATTTTTCTTGTCAACATTGATGTTTGCAGCATATCTGAGATATGACACAAACATCAAAACGGCCAGATCTACTGCGTTGCACTTACCGCAAAGATGATTCTGTGAAAGGATTCGAATTCAAATAAACCGTGGAGGCACCATATTCGAAGCAGTTCCTAAATCGAATCACTCCATAATGTTCGACTATTTTAAATAATTATTTTTGAAATGTTACTTCTGCAAATATTAGTTTCAGTGCTCTAGGGTTGATGGTGTTAAAAGGTTTTAAAAAATATCTTGTCAAAATAGACGAGTGCGTCATCATTAGAAACGGGTCAAATATGGTGCTGGTATGGTATATCTAAACAGCGATGCATTTCGTGAATCTTCAGGGGTAGAAAGATGCGTGGACATACCTGAACGATGGAACGTTGTGGGTTTGCTGGCTTGAAAGCGACCCCAGGAACAAGCTGGGGGATATTGTAGGTCCTGCAGACCGTCGATGTACGTGCACTCGCGGTGTTCCGAATGGAAGATCTTCCGTTGCTGATGATTATCGTGAAAATAACTTCTTGAATCTCGGCTTTGGTGGCGACCCAGAACCGGGTAATCGAATCCAGGTCCATCTATGGTAGTTGGATCAGCACCCAAGTATAAATATAACACAGGTCATCACTGGAATTTCGAATCGCGGAAAATGTGCACCAATTACGAGATAAACTATCTCACATAAATTATTAATTTTAAATTTTTCCAAATTTTCAAACGCGACAAAGAAAACAAACGTCACGGCCGTATGGACGCACAGCCTACTCCGCTGTACAGTACTTGTTCTGGTGTTCTTTAACTGGACTGCTTTTTAACTGGGCTGTAGGCTGAGAAAAGAAGTACAGATGCTCTTCAGATTCTGATGAACGCTTCCGGGAGGAGTTTCTCCCGAGAGCCATCGACTCAGTCAAAGATGCGCCGGCAGCTTTCTAGTGGGAGTTTCAACCAGAATCAGACTTCCCTGGTGGAGGTGCTGTTTAATATGTTCACACGGTCAGACAGCCCAACGATCGGACAAATGGAGATAAGTATGATGTCTCTGGCGGCCAGAGAACACCTGTAAACGCTGGGGCACAATCATCATCACAAGTGATCATCGAAGGTCAATTCATCGATGTCAGTTACGATGAGGAACGAATCATAGAACTGAATGTCGGTTGGCTGATCAACGAAGTGGTGAAGCGTTACGGAATCAAACATGGTAAACGACCACTCACCAGTTGGTGGCCTTTGTATGGGCACCGATCCCCTTACGACGCTTCTGTGCGGCTCGGATTCCATAGTCAATTCGTACCTTATAGAGTTGGAAAAGCTGCGTTCGGATCAGTTCTACGAGGATTATTGCAAACATTGCGTTGTTGAAATGCTTACCGAACTGCTTCAATCGCTGAGCACCATTGAAAAAACCGGTCACTTTACACTTCACCGGGACTTCTTCTCCACCAAGCCTATAAATATTCTATGTCAAGTGTTGGGTTACCAGGGTCGTGTGCGAGAGCTAAACCTATCCTTCAAGCCCAACAACTGACCTATAAACATTTTACTCTTCCACTTAACCTCCTTCGGCTGTGATTTCAGCTCCGTCACGAATGTCCCAGCCCCAAACCGATCTACCAACGTCTTCAACGTTCCCTTCACTTCCTCCTTCAGGGTCTCGCTACCCCCACTATCCAACTCACTAATCACATTTCGAATTGACATATGACCAGTAGCAGTCCCTTCATGGTCATCTTTTCAATCAGCTTCCGGAACGATGCCACCTCCTTTCCAACTTCGATCAAACTGTGACAGTTCGATCGTCTTGAGTGGAGGTTCTCCGATCTCGAAGTCTTCCGGTAGCGACTCCAGCACCGTTCGGAAGAATTTCAGTATCACCCCCAGATTACAGTTGTACTTGGCAACGGTCATCGCCTTGATGACCTCGCTCATCCCGCAAGCAAACCGCGTTGAATTTTGATCGGTTTTTAGCGAATGTTTCGAAAATATGTTCGCTGTGTACAGTGTTGCCAGTAACTTTAAATATCATGAAAATTTCTAATCATGGGTGCCTGTGCCTGGATTTCGGAACATCCGGTATGTGGTCTAGGACGCCCGAATGCTTTTAGGACAGGTCAGTTTTTTTTGTTTAAGTGAATAATAATTTTATTTAGTTTATTTTTAGAAATCATTGTTAATCACCAACTGATCTGTACGTGATAAAATATTACAGTTAAGGTGTTTCTTGTGGAGTCCTTTATCTTAACACCTGTCGCAATTTCAAGAGCACAATTCTCAAGATATACGAGGTTTATAAACCTGTAAATATTAGACATTGCTTGCTTCTTCGCATCAAACAACAAGTACCAGTGCATTCTCGCAAACCTTAATATTTTGACTTGTGAAATTGTGAAGTGTAATGTGTAAAAGAACGCAACAAGGAATCACCTTAAATTAGCTCTTAAATCCCAAAACAGCTAACCATGGTCTATGTTAGATCTAGATTTGCATTCGGATCTTATCTCATCAAATTTCCATAAATCTAAATGAAAAAAGGTTAAAATTAATGAGCCATAACATACTTAATAAATTCAGCTATTTAATTTTAATATTTTGATATAACAACTACTCCAGGAAGTGTCGTTAGACTTCACCAGATGTTTTCCAACTTTCTCCGATTTCTGGTTATTTCCCTCAGCAGTTCAGTTTCTGTGTCAGTTTCTTCCGAATTCCTTCGAAATATTCTTTACACATCCCCCAGAAGTTTTATCCGATTTCTCCTGGAGGTTTTTCTAACTTCATCTGAATATATCTTCCGACTACTCAGTTTAAAACTAACAAAAACCATAACAACATAAATCAATATCAGATTCCTTCCGCCCGACAAAAAAGGAATGCCCAAGTCCTTTCGTTAGTTAGGTAATATCAAGAATGTACTCTCGAGACCTCATTGTAAACAAATATCAAAAGTTTACATTTGTTCTTTAGGGCTAGTACAGTAATGTGCCAACAGATGGAACGACATAATACAAATTGTTTTATATTTAACTTAGAGGCTTACAATTCTTCACAAAGTTGTTCATCTTTTATTTTTGAGCAGCTTTGATGAAGACTGACATTTTGTACTAATACAC